ATACTAAAATAAAGACAATTTCAGTTGCTTCACCTGTTTTTAAATCCCACAGACGGTACAAACATGGAAATGCTTTGGCTGTAAATGGAGAATTATCGAAAGAGTGAAAATAGAGGGCCTTAATCATAGAACTGGAAGAGACCTCTTGAGGTCATTGAGTCTAGTCCCCTGCCCTCATTGTAGGACTCAGTACCATCTCCATCGCTGATAGATGTCTGTCTAACCTGCTCTTAAATATCTCCAGAAATGGAGATTCCACAACTTCCTTAGGCAACTTATTCCAGTGTTTAACCACTCTGACAGTTAGGAAGTTTTCCCTAATGTCCAACCTTAAACCTCCCTTACTCCAGTTTAAGCCCATTGCTTCTATCCTCAGATGCTCCTTGTGACATCCTTTTAGATACCTGAAAACCACTATCATTTCCCCTCTGTCTTCTCCTTTCCAAACTAAACAAGCCCATTTCTTTCAGTCTTGCTTCATATAGGTCATGTTCTCTAGACCTTTAATCATTCTTGTTGCTCTTCTCCAGTTTCTCCATCTTCCTTGAAATGTGGTGCCCAGAACTGGACACAATACTCCAAGGCTATGTCTACACTTGTGGGTTCTTGCGCCAGAAATATGCAAATAAGGCTAAGCGTGGAATATCACTGAGCCTCCTTTGCATATCGAATGAGCCACCATTTTTGTGGAAGAGGTTTTTGCGCCAGAAGTAGCGTCTACACTGCTCCTTGTGCAAGAAAAACCCTCTTACGCAATGCCGTTATTCCTGAAAATAATCAGCATAGCGGCATTGCGCAAGAGGGTTTTTCTTGCGCAAGAAGGGGCAGCGTAGACAGCTCCTTCTGGCGCAAGAGCCTCTTATGCAAAAATGGTGGCTCATTAGATATGCAAATGAGGTTCAGCGATATTCCACACTTAGCCTCATTTGCATATTTCTGGCGCAAGAACCCACCAGTGTGTAGACATAGTCCAACTGAGGCCTAATCAGCACAGAGCAGAGTGGAAGAATGACTTCTCATGTCTTGCTCACAGCATTCCTGTTAATGCATCCCAGAATCATGTTTGCTTTTTTTGCAGCAGTGTCACATTGTTGGCTCATATTTAGCTTGTGGGCCACTATGACCCTTAGATCCCTTTCTGCTGTACTCCTTCCTAGACAGTTGCTTCCCATTCTGTGTGTGTGGAAGGGATTGTTCCTTTCAAAGTGGAGTACTTTGCATTTGTCCTTATTAAACTTCATCTTATTTACTTAGGGTGATTTTCTCCAGTTTGTCCAGATGATTTTGAATTATGACCCTATCCTCCAAAGCACTTGCAACCCCTCCCAACTTCATATCATCTGCAAACTTAATAAGTATACTCTATACCAAACGGTTGATGAAGATATTGAACAGAACCCATCCCAAAACAGACCCCTGCAGAACCCTACTTGTTATGCCCTTACAGCAGGTTTGTGAACCATTAATAACTACTCTCTGAGAACAGTTATCCAGCAAGTTATGAACCCACCTTATAGTAGCCTCATCTAAATTGTATTTGCCTAGTTTATTGATAAGAATATCATGCGAGACCGTATCAAATGCCTTACTAAAGTCTAGGTATACCACGTCCACTGCTTCTCCCGTGTCCATAAGACTCGTTATCCAATCAAAGGAAGCTATCCGATTGGTTTGACATGATTTATTCTTTACAATTCCATTCTGGCTGTTCCTTATCACCTTACTACCTTCCAGGGGCTGGCACCGCTCATACGCCGCGTGCCTGGTGCTGGCACAGCCCTTGCGCTGTGCACCCGGGGCTGGGGCTGCCCATATGCCGTGTGCCTGGTGCCGGCACCACCCATGTGCCACACTCCTGGGGCCAGCACTGCTCCTGTGTCACGTGCCATGGTGCGGAGACACTCATACGCCACGCGCCCGGGGCCGGCACAGCCCTTGCGCCGTGCACCTGGGGGTGTGGCCACTCATACGTTACACGCCCAGGAGCCAGCACCGCCCATGCACCACGTGCCCGGGTGCGGGGCTGGCCCAATCACTTGGCGGGTGCACAGAAATGGCCCGGCGGGCGCCATGGCTCCCATGGGCACTGCGTTGGGGACCTGTCCCTTAGCATCATGAACTCTGTGATTTCATGATCACTTTCACCCAAGCTACCTTCCACTTTCAAATTCATCACTAGATCCCGCGCTTTGGATGATTTTTGTTAGTTGTTTAAAAAAAGTCTCATCCATCTCTTCCACCTGGGTAGGTGGCCTATAGTAGACCCCTGGCATGACATCACCCTTGTTTTTTACCCCTTTTAGCCTAACACAGAGATTCTCAACACGTTTCCTATGTCCATCTCCACCTCAGTCCAAGTGTATACATTTTTAATGTATAAGGCAACACCTCCTCCCTTTTTTCCACCTATCCTTCCTGAGTAAGGTGTACCCTTCTATACCAATATTCCAATCGTGTGTATTATCCCACCAAGTCTGATATACCAACAATGTCCTAGTTGTGTGTGTGTGTGTGTTAGCACTTCAAGTTCTTCCTGCTTATTACCCATACTTCTTGCATTTGTATATAGGCATCTAAGTTACTGATTTGATCTTGCCTCCCAGTTCTGCCTTGTCCCTCCTTTTTCTCTGCTATTATAGACCATACTCTCTCCCATTTCTGACCCATCTCCCAGGTCTCCATGTTCTTCACTTACTTGTGGGCTTTGGTCACCTGCCCCTGTCTAAACATTGCTTTTGGTAGAGCTCTCACTAATACGGAAGATGAGACACCATTTGAAAAAAAAATTAGGGTACAATATTACTTAATCCAGATACTAAAATGTTAGTTGAAATGCAGATTCTGAATTTAGAGGTCTTGTGTGTCTTGCCTTTCTGCTAGTTAGAAGGGTTTTGACTACGGATGTAAAGTCCTATTTTATTGGTTAACCAATTAGTGTTTAACCAGTTAACTGATTAACTGCAGGCAGGGGCTGTTGAAGCCTGGCCAAAGGGGGCCAGCCCTCTGGGCCCTGCCCATAGCTAAGAGCTGGCTCCCAGGTACCAGTTAACTGTTACCTGTAGTAAGAATCACTGGTTACTCGCTCACATTCCTAATTTTGCATAGTCAAAGATTTTTATACTTTCTATGTTTGCAAAGTCTAAGATTAAAATCTTTATACAGTTTGATGGGAGTCAAGAAATGTGTTCTGTTGAGCTATCTGGAAGCTGGGACAGACTGCTGGTTTTCCCTCAAGCTCATTGACAATCATGTGTATATTAAAAGCAACTAATGTAAGAAAATCCAAGTGGGTGTTTTGTGGTTTTAAGTATACAGCAGTGACCTTCTGCACCACACTAGACTGCAAACTAGCTATTTCAACAGGTGCTTGACTGGAATGTAGAACTTTTATTAGACACCTGCCTCTTGTTTGGTGTAGTCTGCCTTCCTATGCTAGGTACTGCCTAATTCCTTCTATCATATGATCTTAGCACCTGATAATCCAGGGGTGGGCAAGAGGCTGTCAGCTGTCCAAATCCAGCCTGCCTAGCTCTTTTATTCAGTTCCTCCTCCCCTCCCTTCCCCCCAACATATTGCCTGGGAGCCAGAAACACAGGAGCCCTTTCAACTGCTTCTGCTTGTGCCTTCCCCGTGGCTGCTTAGGTGCCAGCCTTTTAAATAACAGGAGTTGAAAGAGCTTGCAGCTCCTGCCCTGCCCCTCCCCGCTAATGTGTTGCCTGGGAGCCTGAAGCCTTTTTAACTTCTGCTATTTAAAATGCCCTGCTCCTTCTGAGATGACCCATGACCACTTAATTTTTTTTTGAAGTGGCCCCCCCTTCAAAAATTCTTGCCCACCCCTGTTGTATCTTTTAGTGTATGTATGCTCACTGCATCCCTGTGAGGAAGGAAAGTGCTGTTGTCTCCACTCTACAGCTGCAGAACCTAAGGCAGTGAGGCTGTTCACAGTGGTATTGTAGGTATTGATCTCAGAGTATGAGGGACAGAACATGGGGGGTGAGTGTTTTTTTCTGGATCACTTTCTGTTGGTGGGAGACCTGAGGTCTTCAAGCCTGCCTGTTCCATCAACAGAAGTTGGTCCAACAAAAGAGATTCTCATCCACCTTGTCTCTTGCATGTAGATTGTGACTTACTTTACTAGGTTAAATCCCATGGTGGAGCAGTAAATTGAACCCTTTTCTTCAGAGTCCCAGGCTTACACCTTATCACTCTCCTACCTCCTCTGTCCTTTAGTAAGAAGTAGGTTTTTTTTCCTGCTCCCCTCAGAACAGTGCTTATGAGTTCACATTACCAAGGTTTGTTTTCCCCACACCTGACTTATTTACAATGCTGGATGAAGTGGGTGGATATGATCAGGTGGTCCACCTGACTTGATCAGTAACAGCTCACTTCCACATGCAAATCTAATGTGAAGTGGTGTGGGGTTTTGCTCATTTTGAATGAGTTTGGGGCATAGTAGAAGCCTGGAGATCTGGTTTTGTGGCCAAAGGTATTGTAAAGTACTGTGTCCTGAAGCAACGTTCAGCCCTGTAGGTGCAGCGTGGAGATCTGAAAGACTACTTGATAGAATGTTTGGAAACTAGGGATGTAAAATCCTGTTTGTTTAGTTAACTGGTTAAACAGTAAAGTTAACTGGCTAACTGATTAAATGGGGAGAGGAATTTAACTGGCTAACTGATTAAATGGGGAGAGGTAGGAGGGGGCTGTTCCAGCCCACTTGCTTAGAGTGGCCCGCTGCCACGGCTGGACTGCCACGGTTGGGCTGCTTGCTCCCAGACAGGCTGGAAGCGGCAGCAGGGGTGGGGCTGCTGGCTACCAGCCCATGTGGACTTCTGCGTACCCTCCCCCCCTGTCCCTACAAGGCTGCTGGAGCAGCCCGATGCTGGGTGACGGTTAACTGTTACCCATTCACATCTCTATTGGAAATAGGGCTCAGTTATATACAATTTTCTTTATACTTCAGCATAATTTACCAGGGTTTGTTTCTCTTTCTGGATTTACAGAGATATGAAAAATGCTGTAATTGGAAACAACAAACAAAAAGCGAACTTGATTGTTTTGGGAGCGGTTCCAAGGTATGTTTTCTGCTACTCTCCTTTTCACTGATGCAGGCTCTGCTTTTGACCTGATCCTGAAAGCTGTAGTTGATGGATTACTTTCTCTAGTTCAGGAATGGGCAAGACTTGGCCCACAGGCCGCCGTGCGAGGACCCTCAGTCACATAGCATTCAGCTGCTTCAGAGCAGCCCCATGCCACTTTAAGTGGGTAGCTGTTCCCTGTAGGTCTCTGCTCTGCGCACTTGGGGAGGGAAGGCTTCATGTGCTGCCCCCGCCTCTTCGCAAAATCTCTTGGCTCCCATTGGTTGTTTTTTGGCATTCCATTGTTTCCTTTCTTCTAGTGGTACTGGAAACTGCAGCTGCCAAGATCCCTCTAGTTTCCCCTTCTTCCCCAGCATTGTGTAGTGGTGACCAGACACTGCAGCCTATATGTATGGGGCAAAAGGAAATTCTGCGGGCCCAACATTAATTTCTGCAAAATTCTGATAGAACTCTTTACCCTGGTTGGACCGCTCAGTGATGACGTCCCCTAAATAATCTTCTATCCTTTTGGAGGCTGATATAAGAGAGAAATAAATGAGATCACAAAATATTATTTGGAAGACTCCTTTTGCTTCCTATAATGTGGTTGTGAAAGTTAAGTTTAAAAAAAATGAATCCGTCTCCAATGAACCCTTACAGTCCAGTTATTACTGGAAATCCAGCCAGCAGGCCAGTGCATCCCAGAATAGGGATTAAAATAAACATCATCTTGAGGTCAGTTCACTCTGTTCAGTTGGGTAAATTAAGGAGTCTTTCACCTTTCCCACACCACTCAAAATTAGTCTGTAGTTACTCAGAGCAAATTGATTCTCTCCAGAGTGACATTGGTGGTATATTACAGAATTCTTCTATCCTTCTCCTGTGGATGGGGTGGAGGGTGTGTGTGTAATTTGCTCGCTTGCTCGCTCGCGCGCTCACAGACGCACACAGACACACACACTGCATTTTTCAATAGGATGACATACCTTCCAGTAAGTTTACCTTTCAACTTTGTAACCATCACCAGAACTTTCATAAAAATGATTGAGGTTGCACTGTTCTCTAGAGAAGGGATATTTTTATAAGCCAATATTTCAAGTATCTAATTATAGATCCTTTCTACAAAGCACTATGGGTGATGACCAGATACAAAGAACTTTCAGTCTCGTTTGATCAATGCAACAAAGACCTCCTTGGATCCGTAAATTGTCTTTCTTTGAAGAACTTACAGAAATTCTAAAAACTGTTATTCCCATTGCTTGACAAGGTGGACTAGCTGGATTAGTTTATTAATTGTGTGCATATTCAAGAAATGGTCAAGGTGAAGTCTTTCACTTGTACTGGGACTTGTATCTTGTCAGGATTGTCTCGCTCTTCTCCTCCTCCAGTCCAGTTACCTCATTCTTACAACAGATTTTTGAGATGCTTGTGCATCCATAGTCTCTGGGAAGAGACCCTCCAAATAGTGGGGTGATCAGATATGAATTGGATGCCCCTCCAAAGTCTTGTTGGGATATATCTGAACATAGATTAGTTTTATGTGATGCAGGGAAAGCATTTAGTTTGAAAATGACATAAGATATTTGGTATCAAATATAAAGAAATTTATATATTACCATTGTGGAACAGATCCATGTTGGGTTTTAAAAACACATCTTAGTTATCTTCTGAAGACAGACTGCACCGAAGTAGCAACATGCATGCACTGCCTTGCTTAAACAAAACAGAAAAACGATTGCTCTGACAGTGGAGAAATATGTGGCAATAGCCCTGTGGAAGCTTGCAACGCCAGACAGCTACCAGTCGGTTGAGAATCCATTCAAAGTGGGGAAATCTACAGTAAGTGCTGTTTTATCCAACTAGCCAAGGTCAAGAGAGGTGCATGACGTGTGCATCTTTAGGCACTCCTGCCTGTTTGGCAAGATACAATTTAGAACTTTTTTTCCCGACCAGAAGTTTACAGTCAGAGATGTTGAAATGCCAATAGTGATCCTTGGAGACCCAACCTACCCTTTGCTCCTGTGGCTCATGAAGCTGTACATGGGTAGTCTGGACCACAGCAAGGAGCAGACTAACTTACAGGCTGAGCAACTGCAAAATGGTGGTAGAATGTGCTTTAGGGCATTTAAAGGGAAGGTTCCACAGTCCGCTTGCTACGTTAGACCTCAGGGAACACAATGTTCCCGTTGTAGTGGTAGTCTGCTGTGTGTGCCATAATGTTTGAGAGATCAATGGGGAAATGTATCTCTTTGGATGGAATGCTGAGGCACGACGTCCCGCAAGGGATTTTGAGCAGCCTGACACCAGGGCAGTAACTAAAACACAGCAAGGGGAAGTGCTAATTAGAGATGCTCTGAAAGCGTTTTAAGAATGCCCAATTTTGAGTCATGCATGTTGCTCTCAACGGGGTGCCCCTGCATTCAGTGCATAACCCTCCACTTCTTCAATACAAGCAATAAAGAGATTGTTCACAAATGGTGTGTTTTTATTAAGGGAACACAAAAAAGGAGTACATGGTGGGAGCTTCAGGGGTGTATGTGCTCAAAATTATGAGGATAACCTTGGCTGAAAATGTACTTCAAAATCTCAAGACATAAACAGACTTTCCAGAATTCATGGATGATACTCTATTGCTCACGTGAAATGCATAGCAGTGGAAAGTGTCTTTCTCCACAGAGAATTCCTATTGCTTTACAAAATGCAATTTGAAGACCTACAAATCTTTGCTACATTGTCTAACAAGGAATGCTGATATTAAAGGTGACTTGTTTTGAATTACTTCTTGGGTTGCAGTACCAGTGACCAGAATCTTGATCAAAACTATAGTAACATTCCTGGAATGATAGATATATTTTAGAGAGGCAATTGGAACATCTTTTTGGGAAATATATGAGAAATACATACAGAAAGCTAGTTTTATTACTCACTTGCTGGCGGAGCTATAGTTGATCAAGAGCATGGGATCTCTTGTATTCTTTTGATAGACTTGGAATCGGGGCCAGCTGATGACATCACACAGGAAATAAAGACTTTTCGGAGTTTTGCGAAGCAGGCTGGCTCAGATAAGTGAGGATCCTCAGTTTAGATAGTTCAGCAGTGAAAATAGGCTGTTCAAATGGCATGCAGGCTATTCTGGATCTCAAATATCCCTCTCTTTACAGATTAGAATATTTGTAGACATTTTCAAATTTTATTGTTTAAATCCCAGAAGTTGATAGCACCAGTAAGCTCTTGATGACTTAAAAATAGTTCTAAATTGTCTTTAAGAGTTGTATCTATCTTGTATGCTGGGTTGCTAATAAGTCCAAAGGACTCAAGACAATGCCATTTCTCTGTCATTCATTTAAAGTGTATTGAAGAAACTGAATAAGTGACGGATGTAATAGACATTAAGGGTATCTTTCTTATGGAGAGTAAGATAGGCAAACTAGCTCTGTCCTTGCAGCAATCACATATCTGGCCCTGTTTTCATTGTTCAGGAAGATCACTTTGAAGAAGTAAATGTCTCTGTATTTTAAGAGACAAGCTGCCGAAAAAGCAGAATTAATATTTAAAGCTGACATCGAATCACTAGAATAAGGTTCACTAACCACAATGCATTGAATTTCATTTTTTTGATTCCCCAACACTTTTGTTTGATGCACATTTTGGAAATGTACAAGTTGTCAGTTGTCTAGGCCTCTTTGCATAGGCTTTGAATGGGGAGGAAAAACTGCATGTCCTACGCTATTCATTGCCACTGAAATTATGCTTATTGCAAAATTTACAACAGATGCAAAGGCACAGGAATGTTCATCATAGCTTTTGACCAACAAGCCACCTGCTTTTCATGATGCATAACTTATGGTAGAAAGCGATTCTCATCCTTTTATAGGACTGTAGTGGTAGAATGTTCATTTCACAATAAAGTTAATCAAAACAAACCTTTTTGTAGCAAATTATATTTCAGTTTGATGCGGAAGCAAGTATTTGAATCAAGCGTAGCTTCTTTCCAACTCCATTGGGCTGGTTTCTATTGGCTTGCAACAATACCAGGAGCAAAAATTTTTGGAGAATGCAATCACGGTGAACGCTCAACAATGGAAAGTGCTTAGTGGATGGCTAGATTAGTAATAAAAATATCAAATGGAAAAGTTGATAGAGTTAAATTCAGAAAAATAAAGGAAGCTGAAAGTAACAATGAAAAATCCATGGGCAGGAGAGTTAAGGAAATAAAAAGGAATTTAAAATGTATCAGAAATCCATATAGTGACATCAGTGATGTAGCCAAGGCAGAAATGTTGAGCTGTGGAAAGAAGTTGGTTGATATTTTTGAATATGTTGAAGTACTTTAAATTCAAACAGTGACTGAGGAGGATGTAAAACTGCATCTGCTAAAGTTTAAACATTTTAAAATAAGCAAGTATGGATGACTTGCTCTCCCCTCCCCCCCCCAAAGAGTTTTTCAAAGAATAGGACCAATAGCTGTGTGACCTGCTGGTAACTTTTAATAACTCTTGAAACCTTAGGGAAGTTGTGCTAATATTTTAAAAGCAAAAGCTAATGGGATGACCTGAGTAATTAGATCTGCTTGCAAGAATATTAAGACATTAATGCAAGTTAGTTTGATTTTGTGGAAAATAGGATTTGTCAAATGAACTAGGGATGTTAATTGAATAGTTCATTAACCTCAGGAATTCTTACTCGACTATTCTGTAGTCCATGGAGGTGGGGCTGACAGCCATTGCACTCTGGCCCTAGTCCTGAGGAGCCCCCACCCCCTGTCTGGGGTAATGGTCTAAGCTCCTGGATCCGTCATGAGCCGGAACTTTGCCAGGCTGCCTGCCTACCTGGATCCTAATATACGTTAAATGCAGAATCACAATGGGGGTAGGTCCCAGACCTGATACAGGCCAGCATTGAGCTGGACTGTTCGGCAGCCTGCTAAAAAATTTCCTGGATGGGGCAAGGGGACCAGGGAGCTTGTGAACAGGAGCAGCAAACGGAGTTTTGAGAGG